TGGGGCTGTTAAACCCCCGCAACACGTGGCCCTGCGCTGCTCATAAACGTGTGTGCAAGCAGGCGTGCGCACGCGTGTCCGGGGCTGCTCCCGGCCCAAAGCATCTCAAACATCGCGGCTCAGCACACGCTTGTACCCAAAAGGGAACTGGAGCAGCAGCCCCCCAGGCCTTTCATGCACCTGGGGTTCAGTCCTCGCCCTGGGGAAGTGCATACATAATCACGGTTAGGAAGAGGTGCTGCCCTGGGCAGTGTTTGCCGGGGTTAAGTCCTGTCCCTCCCTTCCAAATGCCGGCTCTGGTATGCGGGGCTCAGGTCTGTCTTTTTCCAATCTGCTTCACATTGGTGAATCATCCTGCAATAAGCAAACACACCCAGGGTACTCTGTCTTTCCTTCCTCCCCATGGTCGGCTGAATCTTGATCCTAAGAGCTGAGGACATAATTTTGCATCTCCCTTGTTTTTGTAGCTGTTTGGTGAAGTATGTAATAAAATGTGTCTCAAGACTTGTCTTGAGGGACTCCAGCTCCCTGCAGCCTGGCCCAGCATCCTCCCCTCCTGTGGTTCCTCCTCACTCAGGTCTCATGTTCCCTGTCTTTTCCTCCACGCTCTCACCAGAGCAAATGTTTTGCTGATGCTGGGGAGAGCAGAGCCGCCTTTCCGACTGCTCCCTTTCCTGTCCGGAGCAGTGCGCCTTGCCTGTGCTGCTCCCTGGAGGCAATGAGCTGTGCCCTGCCCGTGCGCAGGGCCCTTGGGTGCCCCTGGGCACTGCTTCATGGCAGCTTGGTCTGGGGACACCAGGTTTTCTCCCTGTATGGTGCTGAGCTGGGTGCGTAGATGAAGCTTTGGGCAATCTGGTCTAGTGGAGGGTGTCCCTGCCCATGGCAGGGGGGTTGGAACTAGGTGATTTTGAAGGTCCCTTCCAACCCAAACCTTTCTATGATTCTTGGGGACACTTAATCCAGGAGCCCACCGTGCCCTAGCCTGAGGCTGCTGCTGAGCATGAGAAAATGAAGTGGTTTAGGGAGGCTGTGTGTGTGCTCGGCTGGGGTTCACCCTGGGAACACTTTGCCCGTGGTGCTTGGGGCTGCGTAATGGCTGCTGCAGCTTTTCTGATCTCCCCCTTGCAGGCTGTGAGCTGACTGCCAGTACCAAATCCTACACGTTTCAGGTGGACGAGGAAGATGACTCCGACCACATTTTGGCCTTGTCTGTGGTAAGAGAAATGAGAATTGACTGTGCTTATCCTCTCCCGTAGTGGCCTGCAGCCTCACCCCCCCTTCCCTAGCTCATTCCCCCTTCTCTGGCCGGGCTGGACCAGGGGACTCCCTTGGCTGAGGTCTCGACACTGGCTGCTCTCAGGGCAGGGCACGGGACTGCCACATTTACGGAGGTGCTTGAGCAAAGCCCGTGGCATCAGGAGGCTGCTCAACATAGGAGTACTCTAGGCATGGAGTGAAGGAAAGTATTTTTTTCTTTGTATTTGACCTTGCTGGAATCCACCACTAGAACATGGCCCCCCCTTACCGGCTGGGTCTCTGGCTTGTTGCTCTCCAAGTCCAGGTAGCTGCAGGGCTTCATTCCTGGCTCTCCCTGGGGGGTCACTTTCTGTCCTGGGAGCAGAGAACCTGCCAGCATGGGTCAGGTCAGCAGAAAATGTAGCCCAGGTGCCGTCTCCTGAGGTGGCTGCAGGAACAGCTGTCCCAGCTGGGAAAGGCACAGAGCCCCTGTGGAGGCGGTCGGGGGGGGTTCCGCGCTCTCCCTGTATTGTGGAGCAGCATCCTCACACCTTGCATGGCAGCTGGGCTGGCAGCATTGCTGTGCGTCCCTTGTCCCATGGAGAGCCCTGGCTGTCCCTGCTGTGTTCCCTGGGAGAGCAGTGGTTCACAGTCTCTGCTCCCACCCAGGTCTGCCTCACGGACGGTGCCAAGGACGAGTGCAATGTGGTGGAGGTAGTCGGACGAAACCACGAGAACCAGGAGATCGCTGTGCCCGTGGCAAATCTGAAGTTGTCATGCCAGCCCTTGGTAAGGAGTTGTTTTGAAGACTCAGGTGGTGATGGCTGCAGGGAACTGGACATCTCTGGATGTTTGCAGATCTTTGCCCTGGGATCCTGCCCGTGAGCTGGTCTGCAGCTTGCAGGGAAATGCCCTGGGTAGCCTTGACCTGGCTGCAGATGCCCCCAGAAGGATATGTTTAACTGGGCTGGGGGCTGCAGGACATTCTGCTTTTTGTCTATGCTACTAACTCAGCTCCATCTCTGCCTCTTTGCAGCTGAGTCTGGACAACTTCAAGCTGCAGCCTCCAGTGACCTTCCGCCTGGTGGCAGGCTCTGGCCCGGTACACCTCGCCGGCTGGCACCAGATCGGTAAGGACTTGTGGGTGGGGAAAGGCTTGGGAGGAGCAAGGGGTATGGAGCAGCTCCCTCCAGCACAACCGCTGTCTGGGGAGCCCCGGGAGATGCGTTTGGTGCTGCCCAGCACGTGTGCTCGGTGCCTCCTTTGTGCTGGTTCCCCAGGGGCTGTCTCTGTGCAGGGATTCCTTCCCTGCTGTCTGGATGACCCACACTGTCCCCTTTTCCCATGGCTGGCTGTCACCATTCCCCTCCAGCTGGGATACAGCTTATTGCCCACAAGCTGCTGGTAAAACTGCTCTGGTGTTCCTTGGACTGCTCTGCTCTTGGGGCATCTTGGGGGCCAGTTGTATTTGCCAAAGACATACGTTGGTGAGTAACGGAGTTATTTGTGTGTCCCAGTGCACAGGGAAGATGCTTCCTTTGAGGAGGACGATGACTTGTCTGAGGAGGAGGAGCCGGAGCTTGCTCCTATCATGCCAGCCAAGAAGTAGAAGAGGAAGCAGTACCTTATCTCCAGTCAAGGTGAGGGGCCGGGCACCCTCGGAAGAAGTGTCTGGGTGGGTTTGACACTTCTTCCGAGTGTCACCTTGACATAGGGTGGTGAGCATGGGTGGGAGCTGCTCTGCCGCAGGAGGCTGCTGGTCTCAGTCTGGTTCTTCCTCCAGGTATTCTCTGGGACTTCTCTCTTCTGATGGCTTTTACCTCGGACACCTCTTGCCAGGACCTCAACGTTTGCTGCTTTATTTTATTTTTTTTTCTGTTGTAAATTTTTAGGGAGCAGAGGCTGCTCCCAGCACTGGGCTGTCTCCTTTCCCACAGCCCTGGGAGACTGATCCCAAGATGGGATGAATGCTGCTGGTATATCCCCTCTCCCCCATCCCTGTGCTGGGAGTTGGGGATGGAGGAGGTGATCCTTGCCCTGTGCCTTTTTGCTGCCCTGGACCTCTGCTCTGTACACCCCCTGTCCCTGGCTCTGAAATACCCAGTCCTGGCCCCTTCCCCAGCAGATGGATGTAAAGCCAGTGTTGGGACAGGCAGTTTCACTGATTCTAGTGTGTTTGCTGTTCTTTACTCACAATTTGATGATTTTTATACACTTGGAAGTGTGAAACTGGGGCCCAGGCTGCATCCTCAACTGCAGTTATGGTGGGGTGGGAGTTCACAGACTGTCTGTGATTTGGGGGAGAAGGTTCTGGGTCAATCTGCTTTGTAAAGAACTGTTTTTACACTCTGAATAAAGGTCTCTCAAGCGTCAGATCTGGAGGTGGGTCACTGCTGGCTGGCAGGTTCCTGCCACGCGCACTTCAGTGGGAGATGCTCCTCTGTGTCCAGCCCCCGATGCATGCTTCCCTTGGTGATGCTGCAGAGCTCCCAGGAGGGACCCAGGGGCTCCTCTCTCTCCCTTGCGGGCTCTGCGTGCTTGTGCCCTTTGAGTCAGCTCAGTGCTGCATCCAGGGAAGGGGCAGAGTTACAGGCAGCTGTATGGGACAGGGACCCCGCTCCACGTGTCCTCCCAAAGGTAACCCAGCTATTGGCAACACCGCCCTGGTTTGGGCCACATTGGCCCTGGTGCTGAGTGCTGTCACAGCAAGGTCCTTGCTTGTGTCCTGCTCTCAATCCAGCAGCATCACGCAGAGGGGTGAAACGCCAGCGTCTGCAGGGTGTGGGGCAGGTTTGAGCTCTGACCTTTGCTGGGGAGCCGTGTCCCCCTGTGTCTGGGTACCTGGAGAGGGTTTGATCCTCTCTGCACTTCAGTCAAGTGGCACTTATCCCTGGGAGCTGGTCCTGTCCTTAAATAGTTCTCTGACGGTTTCCCTGCATCCAATCTTGCATCCCTGGCCCTTGGGTCAATGCCTGTCTCAGCTCTCCTTGTTTGTGACACTGTTGTCCCTGAGAAGCACCACATACTGTTCTGTCCTGCTGGCCCTGTTGGTGCCCTGGGACAGTGAGTTCTGGGTTGCACAGACTCCGGTAGGAAATTCTCCAGGGCAGATCCTCAGCTCGGGCTCCATCCTAGGTAGTCAGCAGGGCTGTTTCTCTGCGGGGCCTGTGCATCTCCCCTCTGCATCCCACATGCCCGCTGTTTCCTTCTGGCCCCAAACAACCCTTGACCAGCATGGAGGGAGGCTTTGATGCCCCTTACAGCAAAGGGGAAAGGACAGTTGGCATCCCAACCCCCCGGCATGGGGCTGTGCCCCTGGGGACCGTGCCTGCCCGGGAGGCACCAGAGCGACAGGGCAGAGCCGGCCTGGGGGCGATGCACCCCCCGGCTGGTGCGTGGCACCCTGCAGCAG